TCAAGTCTATTTTAATTCATTTATACTTTCTAAAGTGTTTATATTTACCTTAACCAACTAACGTTATTTTTAGTAATATAAACTCCATGTTATGTAGCATACTTAAAAATAATCCTATATGGCTAACCTAATTTTCTAAACTTATTTACTGTTAAGTTAACAATCTCATTTGCTAAGAATTGCCTTTTACTTGGTAATTGTCTATGTTACAATTATGAAATTATCTTTTGATTAGGATTTTCTGTGTGATAAGGTTAAACATTACTACTAAAGATTTTATAGCATCAATCTAAGGCACTTGAAAAATTTTCAGATATGACAAATATGGTTCTATGAGAAATTGGAAGTAATAGCAGTAATTGAAATCTATCTCCTTATGTACTTGTTCAAATAGGCATATTCTTCAGCACACTTTTGGAAGCATGCTGGTATATGAGAAAAATTGAAAAGGGAGTAATAAGGGAGCACAAAGAAAGATATAACAAAATAAACCTCAGACTCACTGATAGAAACACATGCATCTAACTTACAGGAATCCAGTTAGTTATTTCAAAAGAAGGCAACTCAGCCTAAAAAACTAAAGGAAATTAATTCTATCTAAAATTTTATATCATGAAATATTCTGCAATTTTCTCCATATGTAAATTCCATATTGCAAAAGTATTGAGATATATTTTTAAGTATTAACCTTATGTGTATTGTTAAGTCTGTGTCTTTGTAGTTCTTTTAATTTTGTTTACTTAGTTGCGTCTGCATGAAAGTGACTTCAACAAATGACCCATGGTCTTCCTTCAGTAGGATATTTTATTTTATTGGTGTTAAAAATCCACTCGTATTTCATATCTCAAGATTTTCTTTTAGTTATATTAATAAATTATCTGCATCCACACTTAAATATAATGTATTTCTTCATTATCTTGCTTCTTTATTGAAGTCTTCTATTATTATTGCCACTTAGAATGTTCCGAGTAGTAACATTTCACATGAAGATTCACTAAAGCTTTGTGAAAGTATATGAAATTCTCTGTTTTCTCAGAGACATGTTTAAGTACCATGTGAAAGAATTTTTATTCATTTTTTATCTAAGCAGAGAGGAGGCTGAAGTTAGATGTAATTAGTTATTTCAAAATATTGTATCACATGTGTTATAACAGAGAAAAATATTGTTAACGAGCCACCTCAATTCAAGAGGAAGTGTATTAAAAGCAGTTGATTTCAGTTGAAACACTAGAGATTTAACTGAGGTATAAAGATATTTCCTAGTGATTATGCTTATTAATTATTGGAATATGTTCCTCCTAGATTTGCTGAAATTCTCACTTTTTAAAGTAGGCCTGAAAAATAGGAAATCAGAAAATTTCCAAGGTCAACTACAAATAGACAGTTTCTCCCTTAACATGAAGAGCAGTCAGCATGACTTTCAGATACAACTCTGAAAGTGTTCAGAATTAAGGAAAGGAAAATAACTTGATTGATGGTAATAAGCTGCAAATCAGATACGTTGGTTAAAACTTTTAAAAGCCTTGCATCCTAATCATAAATACTTCCAGGAAACATGAATTTCCATCTGTTAGGACTAAAGTGAAAGTTTTAATCTAGTTAAAAAATAAGTATACCAAAACTAATACCTACCCTATATAAAAACTACTACAAAAATAAAAAATATTTTGAAAAAGTTAGCCATATGTTAAAATTATAATAATTATGAAAAAAACATTGACTATTTAAGAGATGAAGAGACATGCATGAAACTATCTGATAAAAGAAAATCTTGAAAGTCTTTTCTAATAATTATGGGCTAAGCTAGTTTAAACAAATACCAAATGATAAATGTTTTATTCTCTTGCAGGAGTGACTAGGAATACCAACCAAATAAAATAGACAAACAAAATTAGCCAAGCCATTTAAAAAGGGATACAGAATAGTATTTATCTTGTCAGAGTTTAGAAATACAGCATAAAGATATCTTCTTACAGTTTCATAAAAGCGTATAAATTGTGTGAATGGTTTAAGGCAAATTTCTTGAATTCTTTTCCTTTTATGATGCTTATAGTGGGATTAGTGGAGAAAAAAGAAATAAAGTTACCACATTGAAAAAGCAGGGCTCATAGGAGGGCTCAACCTACAACAGTTTGTGAAGATTTCTAATAGCCACAAAGTCAATACAATTGTGTCCTGATCTAAAGGTGGTACAAATATCTTCACCTTAAAATCGAAAAGACATGCATTTGTCTAATAAAATTACTTGCATCCTCTACATTTATTGAAATAAAAAGAAATGGCAGAATTTTTTTAAAGAGAGAGAGAGAGAAGCTAAAGATTGCCTTTCCTTATTTTCTCCCGTGATGTTATGCTTATTCCAGAGACATAAGAGTTTTGACATAAATAATATTGGAATACTGCATTGTCTGACCTTTTCCCACCAGTATTTCTATTCTATTTTCCTATCTAGTCTTGGGGTATCTATTTTTACCATTTTTAAATTTTTTGGAAATATTGAAAACATTTATACATAGATTACTTTATTCCCCTTTTTCTGACATACATCTAGCATATTTTTCCTCCCTTCCTCCCCCCCTCCCTTCCTTTCCTCTTTATTTCTTTTATTGCTTTTGTATCCTATGTTGTGTCTTGGAGACCACTACATATCAGCTTATGAGGATGTCAAGCAGTATGATATTCCACTGGGTAGGTCCGTAGATTAGTAATCAGTCACAAACTGATGGATATTTGAGTTGTTTCTAATCATGTGCCACTACAAATAATACTGGTAAGAATAGTTTTGTGCTTAAGAAATTATATATTTTTTGCTGGTACATCATTGGGACAGGTTTCTAGAAGTGGCTTAATTCATTCAGGGGTGGCCAACCTGTGACCATGAGCCACATGTGGATTAGGTGGGACTTTTTTGCTTATCTGTGGTAGCAAAAATCACAAAAACTATGCATGGACCCCCCCCCTTTTTTGGCTCATTACCTTTTGTTAGTGTTCTTGTATTTAATGTGTACCCAAGACCACTATTCTTCTTCCAATATGGCCCAGAGTAGCCGAAGGTTGGACACCCCAGGTGTTGCTGTATTCTTTCACCATAAGGGTTGTATCTTTTTTGCATTCCCATAAACATTGCAGTATTCCTGTTTCCATATACAACAGAGTTGTTAAATTTGTAGACTTTTGCAAATCAAATAACTAAGAAGTACAGTTTTACTGTTCATTTTCTTTACTAAGAATAAGGTTGAACAGTCCTTCTCAAATGTTCAAGGATCATTTTCATTTCTTCTCCTATGAATACTCTGTTCATATGTTTCACTCAATTAAAAATGTATCGGGTGGCACCTGTGGCTCAATGAGTAGGGCGCTGGCCCCCTATACCGAGGGTGGCGAGTTCAAATCCAGCCCTGGCCAAACTGCAACCAAAAATAACTGGGTGTTATGGCTAGCACCTGTAGTCCAAGCTATTAGGGAGGCTGAGGCAAGAGAATTGCCTAAGCCCAAGAGCTGAAGGTTGCTGTGAGCTGTGACGTCATAGCACTCTACCAAGGGCAACGAAGTGAGAATCTGTCTCTAAAAATAAAAAGCATTGTTGGTATTATCTTCATCAAATTTTAAGATATCTGTATATTAGAATAATTAATGTTTTATGTGGATTGTCTCAAATACTATTTCTCAGTCAGTATGACATTTTTATTCTGTTGATAGTATTTCCCAGAATGCAAATTTCAATGTACTCAAACCTATTAACTATTTGAGCCACAGGTAGAAGTTTCACCCCCCTCTGGTTATAAAGTAATTTACCCACAGCTTCTTTAAATGCATAGTGCTTTTATTTTTGTATTTATATCTCTGATTTATGTGCAATTTATTGCAATCTCACACCATGTGCAGTATGGTGTGAGATAGGGATTCAATTTTATCTCTTTCCAAATGACTATCCATTCCTAATATTTCTTACAAAAAGTCTTTATTTCCCCATATATTTGAAATGTCTTATTCTTCATAAACTACATTTCCACATGCAGCTGGATCTATTTTTAGACATTGGCACCTGTGTCTTTGGTAGATCAGTAGCAACAATAAACTGATTTATTTACAGACTGTAATAATACATTTTGATATTTGGTAGGACTATATCCCCTAATAGTCCTCTTTTTTCCCCTTAGACTTTTACAGTAATTCTTATTTGTTAATTTTTTCTATGTAAATTTTATAATCAATGTTGGCGTCCCGCCCTGCAGGCAGGGTCTGCTAAGACCTGTGTAGCTGGCTGACCGACTGAAGAAATATAAGATTAGGAACAATGATACAGAGACATGAGACAAAGTACAGAATTTTCAAAGGTCGAGGTTCAGGGGACCACAGGTCCAGCAAATGACCCCCAGTCTCTGTTTCACTCAGCTTTTATTCAAATCTCTTTGCCCAGGTAGTAAGATGAGAAGGGAACAAAGATACCAGCAGTTTCTCTGAGTGAGAATATCAGCTCCTATTGCTATTATTATTAACTTTAATGATTTGAGCAGTTCTGAGAAATCTGAACCTTGAGTCTTGTGTGGGGGAAGCCTCCCGTCTGGAGCCACACACAAGGATTCCTAGGGAGGTGTTAAACTCTGCTAGTTCACTGTGGAGTAAAACACCACTGGCATCAACCTCCTCTGAGGAATTGGTAGGAGAGAGGTGTTTTCCTCTCATTACCACCACAGAGGATTTTCCTCTGCAATAAGGGATGTGAGCCCTCCTGCCCATATCTCAGGGCTCAAGCTGTTCCCTTGGTCTCTGCTCCAGCCAAATTCACATCTCCACAATGGGCATCTACCTTGACTGTTTAGTGGGCAGGAAACGACCTGGATGAGGGATCTTGTCTAGGTCTTGCCACAGTCTCTTCCATGGCCATCATGTTCCCTCAGCATGTTCACAGACTCAGCAGGGGTGTTTGTATAAGCCGTGTCCCCAAAAGGCCAGAGTTTCAGGAAAGGCCAGAAACTTGTTAAGAAACTGAGTGATGAGTGCTCCCTTCAGCAGCACATATACTAAAACTGGAACCATACAGAGAGAATTAGCATGGCTCCTGCGCAAGGATGACACGAGAATTCGTGAAGCGTTCCATATTTAAAAAAAAAAGAAAAAAAAAGAAACTTAGTAATGGCTGGTTGAAAGGTAAATTAGCTGACTTTTCTCTGTTCCAACTCCCTCAGCTCACTTTTTAATTTTCCCTTTTCCTGGGTTTGCCCTCTCCTGCCAAGAATGGGGTTTTTCGTCCCCATTCTGCCTGCAATCAAAGCAAATAAAATTGATGTTTTTATAGATAAATAAAAATTTATAACTGAAGATAACTGTCATTTTTATAATGTCGAGTTTTCTTATACAAGAATAATACATATATTTTTTTACTCGTTTAAATCTATTACGTGTGTTAGTAGGTTTTAAATTTTTTCTTATTTAGGTTTGTACAACTTTTCAAGTCTGTGCATAACAATTTTTCTTGTATTTTGTTGAAACCCTGAAAACAGGGTTTTCCCTGATATGTCTTCAAATAGGTTATTAATTGTATTGCTTTCTGTATCTTTATTTTCTGTTATTTTGCCATATTCTTACCACTTGTAGTAGTTTTCCTACTAATGCTCTTGAAGTTTTTTGAGATATAAAATCATGAAACCTGAGAAACCTCTTTCCATTTTTCTTCCTACTCCACTGACTGCATTCTTTCATCTAATTTCATCGGCTAATAGCTCAAAATAAACTTGTAGGAATGAAATTATGAACATAGGTTTTTTTCATACTCTTGCTTGTGAATATAATCCAGGTCACTGAATTTCAGTCATTCTCAGATGTTGACCAAAAGCCTCTTTTCCTAATTTATAAAGTCTAATTTGAGCTCAAGCAACAGCTGACTTCCTTCCTTTCAAAGCTTCCTTCCTGCTTCCTGCACTAAGGCCCGACACACCTTCTGAGTGGAAAGGGGCTGAGTTCCAGGGCCTGACTCCCCTTCTCCCTCTAGGCCAGTCTTCTTAGCCTCTCTCACTTGCTCCCCCTGATGTAGGTAATGGTTCCTTTGGTGACCAGTTTTGATCCTTTCTCTGTCCTACCTTCAGGTTATCCTTACCATCTAGACTCGATCAAAACAGGTGTCTTTCCTAATGGGCTAATTCCAATCTAGATACCTTCCTCAAATCTGACCTACAGAAGAAAGTGTACAGCAGGCTCATCTGCAAACTCTTAGCCTCAATCTGTTTCCAACATACTTCTCTCACCTCTGCTGCACCGGGATGCTCCAACAAGCCTCTGGCCTTTGGGCCTTTTCAGGATTGAAAAAGGCTGCAGTTATTTTTCCTTTTCAATGCCAGGATTCTTGTCAATCTTTCTGGCAGACACTTACAAGCTTTCTTTCTTGGCTGGGAGGGAGTGCCAGGTTTGTGTCTGTGGGGATGGCGGAGGAACTCCGGTATACAGAGTGGATTAGCCAGTTGGCAGACACAGTTTTGGACACCTCTTTTGCGTGTCCTGCATAAAATTTCTATTGCTTTGAATGCCAGCATTCTTGGCAAGGACATTTTTCATATTTGAAATCAAAATTCATGCGAGCAATCTTATTTTAGCATTCCATTACATGCCTAACCCACTCTATAAATCCGAAGTCCTCTGTAATCTGGATCTTGCATACCTTCCATCATTCCCGCTTGCTTACACACTTCAACTACAGTGGGTTTCTTTCCACTCCTACTCTAATGTGCAAGCCCTTTCCACTTCCTAAAGCCCTGTTCTCTTGAGTATTTGCATGACCTCATCTTCATTTGCAAAGTAGCAAATGCCACCTACTCAGAGAATCTTTCCTTGACCACCTACCTAGAATATCTCATACCCTCCTTTTCTATTCAATTGTGTTATTGTTGCCATATCACTCACAAATACTATGTATCCAAAATGTAATCTCTCCCTCCCCACTTAAAGGTGTAATTTAGGGAAGCAGGAAACTTGGCCTTATTGTATACTACCATATCTCCAGGAATTAGAAAAATGGCCTGTCCCAGGATGTGTCACAGACATAGTTATTGAACTGAATAAGCAAATATTAAAATAGAGCAAACAATATCTAGGGTATTCTAGTGGTATATTCTCTATGAAAGAAGCAAGCAATAAAGAAATGGAATAAAGAAGTAAAAAAAAATTCAGAGTACAGGGAAAATTATATCAGGAAAGGACACATTTAAGAAAGAGCAAGTGCTTGAGAATTAAAAGTTGTGTACTGAATAGGTCTACAGATAAAAAGCACAAGGCAAAACTAACACAAACCTTTCATTATCTTTTAGTGTAAATATCAGAGCAGCAAAGATGATAGCATTAGACTGGAAAATGAACTATAGGAGAGCAGGGACTCGTGGACTTTTGTTTTTTATCCTAACTAATATATTCAAAGAACCTGAAAAAATACCTGAAATGTGGGGTGGTGCCTGTGGCTCAAAGGAGTAGGGCATTAGCCCCATATGCCCAAGGTGGTGGGTTCAAACCCAGCCCCAGCCAAAAACTGCAAAAAACCCCCCAAAAAACAAACAAACAAAAAACCTGGAATGTGGTAGATAACCTGTATTTGTTGAATGAATGAATGATTCAGGCTAATGCAAAAATTCATTATAAATTTAAAAAAATTGAAGAATAAATGATAGCAGTTGAGTTGTTCAAAATATCATTCAAAGTTAAAGCAGGTTAATTAGACAAAAATAGATAAATCAGTAGAAGTTTAAAATAAGGGCTCGGCGCCTGTGGCTCAAGTGGCCAAGGCACCAGCCACATACACCTAACATGGTGGGTTCGAATCCAGCCTGGGCCCGCCAACAACAATGATGGCTGCAACCAAAAAATGGCCGGGCATTGTGGCGGGCGCCTGTGGTCCCAGCTACTTGGGAGGCGGAGGCAGGAGAAGCACTTAAACCCAGGAGTTGGAGGTTGCTGTGAGCCATGATGCCACAGCATTCTACCCAGGGTGACAGCTTGAGGCTCTGTCTCAAAAAAAAAGAAGTTTAAAATAAGGAAATTATTATCAATTATAATAGTTCTTTGCAAACACTTTCAATTCTATTATGCCTCTCTCTTTTTTTTTATGTGTTAAACTAGAACAACCCAGGATTGGTATTTTCATGTTTTTTTTTTTTAATTGAATGCCATATAAATAGTGTAATGAATAAAATATTATTATAATAAATTTATCATATCAGCTATTTTACTTTACAGGAAACGACTATCTGTGTTTGCAAACATTTAAAAACCTGATTAGATACCAGACTACACAGAATACTTCAATAAACTCCTAAAAGTCAGGTTAATACAGTCAAAATCTCCAGTTACAGGACAACAATGTGGAGATTAATGGCAAAAATTTAAATAAGAAATCCAATATTATGTGTTTTAGATGAAAAATGAAAATAAAGAATTTGGAAAAGCTATAAGTAAAAAAAAAATACATGGGATGCAGTGAAATAATTCATAATTAAGAATAATGGGAATGATTATTCTATTCAAAATTCTACAAAATTAAGTTCAAATGCAGAAAAGAAATAAAGACTTTCACTAACTTCATTCACATTAGTTTGTAGTGTCCATTTATTATTTTGAAATTTCAAAGGCCAAATATAATGAAAATAAATGAATATGGGAGAACTCTTTTTTATCTATTTGCTAATGTTTCTAAATCATTGTCCCACAAAACATGGTTTTTTACCATATTTTTATATGAGTTGTAGAAATGTCATTGTTCATGTATGTGTGAAAAAACAGGTTAAAAAGATTTAACTTGGTTAAACAAATGAAGAAGTATTTTGACTCTAGGATTTCTCAGAAAGGTAGATTTGTTAATATTAATATTCCCTTTAAATTTATTTGACCATGAAATCCCTACTTATTTCCTGAATTGAGTATCTCAAAATGCTAATTTTTAGAAATACTATTCTGATACATGAAAACAATGAATGAAATTGATAATTTCCTAGGATAGTATGAATGGTGAAAATTGACAGAAGAAACAATACAAGATGAACTAATAGTAGTTAAGTTAAAAAGTCATCAAAAAATTGTAAACAAAGCAGGCTATGTCTCCAGATCATTTTGAGTATTATAAGCTTTGAAAAATCCTTAAGTATCATTATCATTTTTGAGACAGTGTCTTGCCCTGTTTGCAGGCTGGAGTGCAGTAGCATCATCAGATCTCTTTGCTGTCCCCTAAACTGAGCTCCAGTGATTCTCTCACCTCACCCTCCCAAGTAGCTGGAACTACAGGCACATGCCCCCATGCCCAACTAATTTTTCTACTCTTTTCTAGAAATAGGATCTTGCTCACGCTCAGGCTGGTCTCAAATTCCTGGCCTTAAGCTATCCTGCTTCATCTTCCTCACCAGGTGCGAGCATTATAGGCATAAGCCCCCTCAAAAGACCTGGTTAATAGGTTTTAAAATCATATAAAATTAAACGTTCATCTATTGTTCCCCAAAATAGAAAATGCAGATAGTTGTCCAGCAAATTTGCTTATCATTGATATGAAAATCCATCCAGGATGCATGGAAACAAATTTTTTTTGACTAATCTCATGTAGAGATATACAATACCAGATATAATAATATTCAGTAGTATAGTAGAAACAAAGTGGGGTCATTCATCATACAATGAAATATTATTTATATTTTATGTAATATATTCATAGAACTGATCAATGAGTCAGAAGAAAAATGGTTCAGCCATGGCATTTACTTAATTCAACTAGGAACATAATTGACCATAGGGATAGATTGTACCTCCTGTCTCTCCGTGTCTCTTTCGTAACTCTACCATGGCCCAAACTGCCTTGTCATTTGCTTTGAAAAGGTTTCATTTATTTTCTAAAATCATGTGCAGGAGGTGATTTGAAACACCATTTCCCATAGAAAGTTGCACACGAAAAGGTCCGTGAAAACTTTTTTCTCAGTTACTAAACTCCTCCGCTTCCTTTTTTATTTTTTTACCTGATCTCTGTTATTTCTCACCTGAGTTGTCATTTAATTATTTTCCATAAACAACACTGTCCCATCCTCACAGGGACATGTCCCTGTAAACTGTAAAATAAGGGCTCAGACAAAATAATTAAAATCA